TTTTAAAATTCATTCCTTTTAATAATTGTATTTAAATTGTGCAATTAGAAAGCCTTTTGATACAACATCTACATAAGATAGATCACAAGCTTAATTAAAATCCCTATAATATCCGTAAAAGTCTGTAGTTCTTGCAGCAACATTTAGAAGCACTCAGTTTTATTCAGTTATTCAGTGTCACATGGTCCTCATGTGTTGTTTTAGAAGATTGTGCCGCCTGCTCTGGATGAACAGTGCCTTTTGTCCGTCTCAACACATGATCCCTGTTAGAACTTGAATACGATTTCTTTCTTCACCCCCAGGGAGATGTTTTCATCTTTCTGACACTCTTCACATTTTCACATTTCTGCATGGACAATTACAAGACTCTAAGAGGTGTGGAACCTCATTTCATCATAATTACAACAAAGAATGCTTGTGTTTAAATCAGATTTTTAGGATGCAGGGGTTTAAGAGGAGATATTTTTGAGCATGGCGTTGGTATATTCACGAGGGTAAATGTGCTTGGGCCAAACTACATGGGATGGCTATTATAGTGGCAGAGAGGATTTAAGAGGACTTACAGTAGAAGTATCTCCTCTGTTGCACTCTGACAGAAAGCCTCTTGATGCAGTAAGAAAAAGGAAATGCTAAAACTGTGTTCCATTGCTTAGGCTGTTGTTGCTGTGGACTCCAAATATTTGTCTCAGATCTCTATTGGTTGTTTCACAGGAGTGGTGTTATGTTTTCAAAACTATGCTTGGATAAAACAGAACCCATGCATAGTTTCCTGTAGCTTTCGAACCACATCATATCAGCATTGAATTCCCCTGTTGCCACTGTTCTGATATCTGATAAGATAAACACGTTGAAGGCTTGCTTGCAAATTAGCAATTCCGTAACATAAGAATCCAGGTGGTTGTCATGAGAGGCAAACATAGATGAATAATAAACTCTCCCTCAGTGTGCTGGTTGTTCTTAGTACACTGAAAAAGTGACTTTTTGTCCAGTAAATATTACCTCGTTATTATGCAATTTACTGCAAATTGTTACGCAAGTCTCTTTACTTCAAAATGACACCTTTTATTTAATGACTTGGAATTCATTTGTAAATCTATATCCATCAAAATATAAGTAAATACAATTCATCTTACCAAATATTACTAACAAAACAACTTGCATGTAATACATACCAGGATATAAGGAGTAAACTTGGTGCTTTTTTCCTTGCCAGACCATGTTTAGGTCAGAAATGGAAAATATTGTTTACTTGTTGTGTGGTTTGTTGCATTTTTGCCTTGCAACAAGAAGGTTCTGGGTTTGATTCCCAGTCCAGGGTCTTTCTGCATGGTTTGCATGTTCTCCCCACGCATAGAGGGGTTCTCTCCGGGTACTCTCATCTACCTCCCACTCTCCCAAACATGACTGTTAGGTTCATTGACTTCTCTTATTTATCCTTGTGTGTTTGGCCGCATGTCTCTGTGCTTTCCTGCGTAAAATTTACTAGCAAAACAAAACATCTTTTTCTGATAAGGTTAATTTGGTAGTGAAATGTACTTTAGTTTGTTTGTTAAAGCAACTCTTCTTAGTAAGTAAATTCAACTTAGATTTTTATTGAGTAAAATTTACATAAAATTTCTATGTGGAAAAAGTTACCTAGCTTTTTCTAAATGTTTTTCAGTGTATAGCCGTTCTGACCTGTTTTCTGTGTAAATATGTATTTCATAGGGTGGTAAGATCTCTGTTTCTGCTATTATGGTGCATGAGGGGTTTGGAAGGTTAACCTGTCATTTCTGGATTGAAAACCAAAAAAATAAAGCTTTCAGTTTGAATGACGCTGTCTTGTTACCATTTATTGTCAACTGAAAATAAAACATGTTTCCACGGTTTCATAGTGATGCGTGATGTGATGATGCTATCTATTACTGTCTGTTTGCATAAACAGCAGCTCCTCTCTTATTTTGGCCCATTTATCTTTTCAATTTCCTGGTTTAGCCTTGTTAGCCTGCAGGGGGCTGATGATGCACAGAAAATAATATTCAGCCCATATAGACAAGATTTTATTGGAAAGACATCTGTTTGTCATGAGTAATCAAGCTTGCTCTTTTATTTTTGTTAATTTATCAAAATGTAGTGTTTGGAGGACAGTGTTTTCTGTGTGCATGTGTGCTGTCATACAGACTTCCTGTCTGTTGGGCTGGGACTACCACAGCTTCCCTTTCTGTCATCATCTGCCGCTCTTTTTAGTCAGTGTTGTAGTTACGCTCCGCTGCAGGTTTGGAACCTGACTAATGACTTCAGGAATCTAACAGAAGTGTTAATCCTGACCAAGGTAAGAATTTTCATGGTAGAAGTTTGTTTTCCTTGCAGTTACACATCTCTGTTTAGTTCAAAAGAGCTGGAGGGTAAAAGGTTATCTATACTTACGGCTGTCAAACAGTTGGGTAACACCCTGTTCAGAAACGGGCTAATGATAGGAAGCGAGTATGGAAGTCAGTCTGCAGGTGTATCATATACAGTAACATTGATACCTACCTGCTGTGGTTCAAACTTTAAATCTCCTAAAGTTTCTAAGGTATTTGCATTGCATTTTTGTGATGTGGAAAGAGGAGAATTCATTAGTTTGTAGTTCCGGTGAGTCACTAATTCAGAGAATTACTCCAGTAGTTACAGCTGGATCTTCTATGGTATATTTTCCCTGGCGTTGAACAGGTAAAGATTGAAATTTTTGCCCAGTCTCCTTTGCAAAGCAGCTGATCTTCAGCCCGATTGGTTGAAGAGTATCTAAACAGTTATTTTAAAGAGTTTTCCTTTGGTTTTAAATCTGGACTTTGACTAGGCCATTCAAACACAATGATAGCAGTCTTATATCCAAAGTTGTAGCTGTGTGTGTTTATGTATTGCTAAGGGTGATTTTCTAATAGGGTTCCTTCCAGACTTCACCTATTTTTAGCTCCACTATTTTCCTATCAACTCTGCTTAAGAAAAGCATCCATACAGCAAAATGCTGCCACCACCTGTTTCTGGAACTGTGTCTGATCAGGGTGATGTGTGGCTTCATTATGAATGAAGGCCAGTAAATATTATTTTGGTCTCATCAGACCAGAGCAACTTCTTGCAAATTTAAACTCTGTGTCTTTTATTCTTTGAAGCAAAACCGTAAATAAAACTTCTTCTTCTAAAACTTTTTTTAAATATTGATTTTATGATCTACCTGCCCAACCATTTAGATCAGCCACTGTTTCTTGCTTGATTGGACCTTTAAAGAGTTTTTTATGACTAAACCTCACCTCAATTTTTTTCCAACTTCATCCGTAATCCGTCTGCTTTGACCCTCAGTCTTAAAGATGCTGTTTGTTCCCTAAACCTTTTGAACTATCCTCTGAAAACCCCACAGCTCTGCTGTAGTTACACTAGGCAAAATATGATGCGTGACTAGACTATATTTAATAGATAAATACATTCTGAGGGCAGTTAGGTGCATTTCACTTATTATTTGTATTTGGTAGGTTTTTATGTTTAAGGAAAATTTTTGTTTTTTTTACAACAAAAAACATTTTTGGTTGTGTTCATAGGTATATTTTTCAATGCAATCAAACTTTATTTGTTAAGTATTTATAAAACAACCACAGCTGTACAGAAAAAATACATAAAACATTACACATAAAAAAAAACAGTTAAAACATTGATAAAAGTAACATTCACATGATCAAAGCAATAACATTGGGCAAAAGATAAAAGGAATAAAATAATAAAATAAAAAAAAATAAAGCCCTCTATCTTGCTAGGTGCGAAAAGGTGGGTTTGGACAAGATATTTAAAAACCATCAGAGGAGAGGCCTTCCTCATATGCTGCTGGTCATTCCAGAGCTTTGGAGCGGCTACAGTAAGAGCCCAGTCTCCTCCGTGCTTCTGCATAGTTCTTAAAATTGAATAAGTCAGAGCGTTGGCACAGTAAGGAGTAAAACTGGGGTTTGCTATTCTGCATTATTATAAGAACACTCATAGCAATATAAGAATCTTTACCAAATCAAATCACAGTACTGCTTTAAGTTGCCATGTTCTTCTTGTTTGCGCCGATCCAGCAAGTATGACCATGAAGTTTTAAAGCAACTGAGACCAGGTTGCTCCCTCTGCATATAATTCTTCCTGGAATGAGCTGTTATATATCTGTTCAAAGATTTTATTAAGCAGTCTGGGCTGTTAAATGTGCTGGAGTTGTCTTTTCTCCTGTTTGAATGCGCTGTAGAGTTGAGCATTTGTGTATTTAATCTTGTGTAATCTCAGTGAATGAGCAGCAGGACGTATTAGTTGGATTACATGTGCCTAAGATTAACTACAAAAGCATCTGTTAAAGACTCAGCCGTTGGCATGACTACGGCAAATACTAATGGGTTTAATGTTGCCCTTTCATTATGTGTCACTGCTGCTGTGCAACCAAAGATCATTGCTGCTCTTACTGTTGTATCAACAACTAATGTTATGGTTACGTGAATCAATATAGCAGTATGATAAAAGGCCGGAAACAAACAGATTAATCGCTATCAATCGATCGTTGAAATATTCGTTAACTAATTTAGTAATCGATTAATTGTTAAGTTGAGTTTGCAGTTAGCTGAAAGAGAGAACACGCTGTTAGCATGCATTAAGGAGAGCAGACAAATTTTATATTTAGTTCTTTCAATGTTCTGTTTCTTTGTCTTGAATCATATTTTTGGTTACTATGAGAATTTGAGTATAGGACTATAGTTGGACATATCCTGTGTGTTTCCATGTTCCATATTATTTTATATTCTGCTTGATTTTGTTTTTTTTTAAAAGCTCCCAACTAATAATACATTATACAAAAATATTGTACTCATTCAGTCTGTAACTAAATGACTTCTAAATCCACTCTGTAACATTGAGCTGTTTTGATTTTCTAACACAGGCCAGGTGCATTAGGAATTTTAGAAATGTATGCAAAATGACAATATTCATATAATTTATTTTCTCTGTTTTATCTGATCTGTGTGTTTTAGCCATGGCTCGTAGGAGTTCCCGCCTGGTGTCTGGTGGCTACTATAATTCAGATGAGGAATCAGATTCAAGTAGTGTGACCAACATATCCTACAGAGAAAACCCTGTCAAGTAAGGATCTTCTTGTTTATTTTCATCTTTGTCAAAGCACGGATTCTGGTTTGGGAATCCAACGGATGATGTGACTCACACATGTAAACATTTTTGTTGTGCTTCTTTGTTTGTTTAGGGTTTTCAAGAAGAAGTCGGGGGCCCGGAAGTCTGCGTCCCGCACCAACAGCAATGCCAGTTCTGCCCCTGAGACTCCAGTCACTCCAGGCCAGTATAGCACCCACATGTAGACTCTATCACTTTAAACATTCAGATGATGAGCAGATTATATTTGTAGGACACCTTTTATATAGTTAAATGCAACATAAAAGTGTTTCACATTTTAGAAACTAAAATAGTTCCAAAAAAAAACACATTCAGAAATTCCAGCAGAAAAAGTTAGCTAATTTAACAGAGTTTTTTTCTCCTCTATACCGACATGCAGCTGTGGTGACTAATCATTCTGTCATCAGTGAAAAAAAGAATTTATAATTGCAGAGTTGACTAATATATAATAATAATATAATATAGCCTAATGAAATGGACAATTGCTTCTGAGTAACAACAAATGTAGTCATTTAGTGAAAGACTAGATTTGGATGACAGCTGATTATGCAAGAATCCTATGTCAAGTCTGTAGCACTCATGAAATGTGTTTTGTACCTGAGAGAAGATTGGAAATATCAGAAAATGATGAATGCGACATTTTCTCCTAAATCACTCAGAAACGATTTAAGAACAAATTTGTGTGTATAAACACTACTAGCATATGGCTCAATATGTCTAGTATTATGTAAAAACAGATGATAGACTATCATGTTTTAGGGTGAGATAACCTGTTGACAGATCTGGGCACCATGCAAAAGAGGCAAGGAGTAATTTGTTGTTAAAAAAAAAACGTACAAACTCCCAAATGTTGTTTTTATTTATTAAGAGAAACTGCCTAAAATGTAGGCAGTTATCATTCTACCTCCAAACTGAACACAGTATTAAAGTCTCTTAATTTTAATAATATCAATGGTAGGCCTAGATTTTAGGGCTTTTTTCTAACTCCTTTTTAGGGCTGAAACAATTAATCAGATTAATTGCTTATTTAAATAATTGTCAACTAATTTAGTAATCGATTAATCGTTAACTGGGGTCTAGAGACTCTAAGACATGCTTTTACCTGACAGGGCAATCCACCTAGAGCAGTAATTAGATCGAAATCGTAGAAAAAATATATGTAAACATTTTGCATTTAGAATCAAAAAATATTTGTCATGTCAATGTTCTCTATCTAGAACTTCTCAAGTGGAAAAGTTTTAGTTTAATTTATTAAAAAATCTTATTTAAGGAACCTTTACTATCCGATTATTAATTGATTAATTGAAAAATTGATTTGCAAAATAATCATTAGCTGCAGCCCTAATCCCATTTGTCTGTCCCTTTTATTCATCGTATCTTCATCTTCCTAATAATTTTGGTTTTTAGTTTTGGATATTTGGGAAGTTTAGTTGCGTCAGGAGTTTAAGCTTTAGTATTCCTTTTACAATCCTGCAAAAAATATAAAGGGAATTCAAAGCATGTGGGACAGATTTTGAAGCTAGACATTTAGGCTATATGTCAGATGCTGATAAGTCTTCTCCCAAAATTCCAACCTGTAAACATAGATGTGCTGATCAATTATTTATACCAACATTTTCACATTTTGATCTCTAGAAAAAAAAAGTGTAAAACCAGCAGATCATTTTCTTCAGATTAGGTTCTGGTTGTCTGTAGTGTGAAATTTAAATCTATTTAAATATTTTTTCATGGCACAGCATGAGTTTCTTGCCAACATCTGACTTCTTGTCTTTGTTTCCTTACAGGTCTGAGTCCAGTAAGCAGCCCTCTAAGAAGTCCCCCTCAGCCCACCATAAGGACCGTCCCTGACCCCCCTGCTGCTCCAACCCCTCGGCCAGCTCTGACTCCATCATTCACCAATTGTCACATGCGATGCCATTCCAAAACCCCAGAGAAGAGCTCTCATGCTGGCCCTCACAGCTCTGGTCTGCTGGGTTTACACAAACACAAGGAGCCAGGTCAGAGTGGTGTGGACAGCTCAGGGTACTCTTCATCTGAGGGCCAATACAGGAAGCCTTTACCTGTCACCAGTACACCAAGGAGAACCAGCAGCAGTAGCGGTGCAGCTCTTGGTCCAGGATTCAAAAGCAGAATCAGTGATGCCTTTTTCCATCTAATGGGTGAGAACTACATCTTTTCTGCGTGAAGCCTTGTATTCCTGGAGAATTCAAATGAAATGATTTTTCTGTACTTTGTGACAGATTCAGCCTCAGTGATGGTGGCGAATGCACACAAAAAAGTCCTTCATGTCACATCTACAGGTTTGTTTTGTTTTTCAGTTTGTCTTCATATATTTTTTCTCATAAAAGTTTTTCTTGGAAATGTTTTCATTCTGTCTACATGCAACATGTTTTTTGCATATATGCCCTTTTATATCCTAGCGTGTCTGTGAAAATCATTCTTGTCCTTACAGCTAATGCATCAGTCAGTAAGCGGATGAAAAAGGCTTGTGGTCTGGCGCTCCTGCTCCTTTTAATACTTCTGTGTAAGTAACATCAATATTTAGCCTTCCTGTTGTCTGGTTAATGTTCCAACCGCATGGTAAAATGAACTCATCTGTCAAGGAAATTGATGGAGATTTCTGCAATTTCACTGTTTGCCATTTGTGATTTTTTTTTTTTTTTTTACTGAAAGTAGAACACACCCTTTTGCAACCTGCACGCTGTGCCAGAGCTACTGTCGTGTGAATGGTATAGGTTTATCAAGAGCAGGGTTTTCCCCAGGAAATCAGAGTAGGTGGTGGGTTCAGCCATGCTTCGTGTGCCACCTCACTGGGACTGAGTGTGTCACGCAAAAGCTAAACGTCTCTGATCTTGGGGATCAGCTAATTTGATCTGAAGTATTGTCCCTCCTGTTTATTTTTTTTTTTTTTTCAGGTCTTTGGTTGCTCCTTCCTTTGTTCACCTCTTTCATCTCCCTCATGACCACAAAGTCTCCATCACAAACACAACCCAAGGTTCAGCCTGTTATCCCCACTCCCAGCGTTCCTCCTCAACCCAACATCATACCCTCACCTGTGCTGGTACGGCTCAACTACAGCTTGTGTGCATCTCACTGTCTGTCTTGGTTAATGTGATTTCTACTTTTCTGTAAAATTGATTCTCCCATTTTACAGATTTGTTCTGTAAGACACAAAAGAATGTTAAATCCCCAAACAAATTGTGATAATGGGAAGTAAACAGCATATAAAAAAGGCTATTATTGCATTAGTTTTGGGGAGGAACTCTTTTCATATATTAACTTTTTGGAAACTTGAATTTTTTTATTTTTTTTTAACAGTGTCCTGTCTGGCAATGTGGCAATAAGAATAATTGTCTTGATGCCAAAAAGAGCCCAACAGATTTTACTATTACAAGTGTAGCAGTATGGCAATTGCCATATTGCTTCCCTTGTTTCATGCATATAAATTGCTTTATTATAATTATGCAGGGAGTTTTACAGTTTATATGGACACTGCAATGTAAATAGAGCAGAAAAACAGAAGAAGAAAAAGAAAAGAAAAAAAAGAAAGCATTTCAAATGGAAACTTGAATTTAACTTTAGTGCAGACCTCATTTTCCCACAGTTACAGTCAGAGTTCTAAGTAGTGAAAATCAAGGATGACCAAATTCAGTACTTTACATTTTTTATGAAGCAACTTGATGTACCACAGTTTAAACCTCTGCAAAGCATTACTTAAAGGTATAGTGGATGGCTTCCTTTTTCCAGGTGGATCATCAAAATACTAATTGTCAATCATTCTAGTGATACGTTTACGTAAGGCCTTCTTATGTACTCGTCCCCATTTTCACTTACCGGTGGTGAGTCTGACAAAGAGGAAAAATTGCAAATCTTCTTTTGGAAAGTAAGCTTGTATGAGCGATACAAACAGCAACTATTAATCAGAGCGTGCACGAGGAGAATTGGGCTCGCGCATGCTCTCGCACACGTTTAAAAGGCTTTGCCTCTTGGGAGCAGGTACAGGGTTTAAGTGAAGAGGGTGGGTCTTTTTAAACCTTTTCGAAAATTCTCCATTTTACCTTTAATTATATTTATTAATATTTCATTTCCACAGTCAAACATGGAGGTGTTAGTATTACATGCTGGGCTACTTCAAGACTGATTAATTGCTGTAATGAATCATGAAATCTGCTTTCTTGCTGAAAATGCTGACGAGAATGTTTGTCCATTTGCTTTTGGCAATAAGATCAAGCTCACTTAGATATTTCAGCAAGACAGTTAAAGCAAATTAGTCCACCTTTAAATGGCTAAAACAAATGACTACACTTTTTTTTGAGTAGCCTTGTCAAATTGAAAATTTATTTATTCAAATGCCCTCAATTGTAATGTCTTTGTTTCCAAATAGAAGCTGTTTTTTGCATTGATTTGAAGAAAAACAGACGAAGAGGATAAATTCATTTTCATAGCAGATGTTGGTCTCATTGTCGCAAAAGTGTCATGTGTTTTAGGTTTGCTCACACTGCTTTTGTTGTCTTGTTTTCCACCTTCATATGATTTAAAGTCATCTTTCTTTTTAACCAGGATCCAGTTGTAATTTCTGCTGCTGTAGAAGCAAAGATGCAGCAGTTTCTGGTAAGGCACATAAACACAAAAGAATGTTTTGGTTTTCTAAACTTCCAAACTGTGATAAATGTTTGTTTTTGCCTGTTTGCAGATGGAGCTTCAGCTTAAACAGGATGAGCTTCTCTCCAAGGTTAGTTTCATTTATTTTTTTGTTCATCTTTTTTATTTTAAGTTTCTAACAGCTTATAAAACAATACAAGACAGTGATGGTACAGGATTGTGTTTTTGTTTATTAAAAATTATTAAGAGCCCGTAACATGATAAATCTCCACAGACTTGCTTTTCTAGCATTAAAGGTAATTAAATATGCATTTAAAGGGCTGTAAATTCAGCTTCTCTTTTTTGTGTTTGGTTGAAGAAACTTTTAGATTCGACTTAATGACTCCATTTCCCATGCACGCATCATGAAACAAGAAAACAGAAAATGATGCAATTTTAACTCCTGAATAAACTTTGTTTTTAACTAGGCTGAAGGCAACATGTTAAAATTCACATAAAAAAAATTAGCTGAAAAAATCTTTGCCTAATCACAATCTGATCTTAATCTGATCAACTTTTTCTATTGTTTGCAAAATAAAATCATCTAGTTAAGTTTACACTCACATTAACAATACAAATAAGGTTACAGTATGGCGACATCTAGTGTAAAAATTATGTAATTGCAGGTTGATAGTTTCTATTGCTTTGGATAAACTCTGGTCCACTAGTCTTTGAATTCAATTAATTTGGAGGATCTTCAAACCTGTGAATTTTCTGAGAACATGCCACAGTTTCCCTGTAGGATTTAAATCGCTCCATAATCTGTATTATGTGTTTGAGCCATTCATCTAAGAGGGTATGAGTTTAAGGTCACTGGATAGAAAGCATACATTATAGTTGGATAAATTATGGTCATATTCCAGGTCATAGAAGCAGCATAGATACCCAGAGCATCAATCTACATCACAGACCTTTACTCCAAATTCTGCTTTTTCTCAAATGCTGTGATAGTTTGAGTACAGATGAAACAGCATACACACCTTCCTAAGGTTCCCCTATTGTTTAGCCAGACTGATATTTTTTTTATGCTCCAGGGATCAAGTTTTTCCCCTGTTAAACGTACAACAGGCCTTTTGGGGGGTTTTTTTGTTTTGTTTTGTTTTGTTTTGTTTTTTACCATCAGATTTTTCTGTTGTAGGACTGCTGGATTTTTATTCCAGTTTCTCTTTTTGAGTCATGAGTTAGATGAGACCTGCTCCACTTTAGTGTCCTTCTGGGTTCTTTTATAACCTCCTTCATTGGTCATCAGTTACTCCTGGAGTTGTTTTGGCAGACTAGCTGCCCCTGGAAGTGTTTACCACTGCTCTGGGGCTTCTCCATTTATGGACGTTGCTTCTTATGAGATTTACTGGAGTCCCACTGCTTTATGAAGTGGTAAAACCCTTCCAGACTGAAGGCTTTTTCCCACTTTATAAGGACTCTGTTTCTCATTTAATTTTGAATTTCTTTTTTATTTTACATTAAGAAATCACATATTTCTATTGGGATTTTCTTACTTCAAGTTGTTAGACAGGTGCCGTTTAACTGATTTTAAGGGAGTAATCTGGGCTGCATATGGCCAGAAACCAAGCTCTGCTCTTAGAAAATGTTGGTTAATCATAGTTAATTCATAACTGAACTTGAAGGATGATTACTCTTCCCACATAGTGCCAACTTAGTTTAGATGGTTCCTTTCCCTAATTATATAAAAATAGCATTTTGTCTATATATATGTGTATTCTAATCTTCAAATGGTCTGAAGCATAACAGTAATTAAATAAGTTCAAACAGTATCAATCTGTATTGGGGGGTCCTTTTTCTTAGCACTCTGTGTGTAGCTCCAGATTACAGGAGTCACATTAAAAAGCTACATTTTGTTTCTACAGCAAGGAGCAATATTCACAATCACCAATTAACTTCCTGATCTGTATGATAACAATCTCTGGTTACTCTATACCTCTTCAGAAATCTGTTCAACACCTTTATATACTTTTTCCCCTTAGCTGAAGGAGAAACATCAACTGGACGTGGATTTTATGAAAGCAAAATTGGAGGCTGCGGACTCAGACATTCGCCGTAACCTGGAGAAGGAAATTTCTGGTCTGGGAAAACAGATAGCAGATTACCAGATGGACAGCCGCTCTGCTACTGCTAGCCTCAGCTCTAAGATCCAAACTCTGGAGACCCAGAATGCTAAGGTAACAAAGTTGATGTAATTATGTCTAAACAACAAACTAAACAAAAAAGTTAGATTCTGTGTTTCTGTTTGTTCTTCTCATGATTTCTCTGTGTCCTGTTTTTTAGCTGTCCCAGGAGCTATCATCCATCCAGATAGCAGCCACTCCAACCCCTTGTCCTGAAACCGACACTCTCTCCGTCCACAACCAACTCACACCAGAGCTCCAACAGGCCTTGGAGAAGTGGTTTACTGATCGTATCAAGGTATGTGGTGCGTAAATAATCACAAAACTATAAAATCAAAAATGTTACTTACATGTTGCTCCAATTGTCAACCAGGAACAGGATGCAGTCATGGTTGGAGACAAAGGAGGCTGCTCAGAGTGCAGACATCCCATGGCAGACAAGATGGCAGACTTTGCTCTTGAGACTCAAGGTGCGAAGACTAGTTTAATACCTGCTGCAAGTATCTCCATGTCCTTAAATGAGTTATTATACATGTCCAACAAGTAGTGTTTGTTACAAATACATTCTGCTGTTTGTAACTGATGTATTTTGTCATTGTAGACAGAAATAGACCTAAGTTTGATTTCATGTCATGATTTTCATTTAGTTTGTTCATCTTATTTATTCTGTGTGTGTTTGAAGGTGCCAGCATTGTCAGCACACGGTGTTCAGAGACGTATCGCATTCGATCAGCATGTGTGACTCTTTTTGGTTTTCCTCTCTGGTATCCATCTGAAAGCCCACGGACTGTCATCCAGGTACAGATTTCCGTGTTTGCTTCGTAGGGAAAGACGAGCATTCCCAGGGTTGCTAACAAGCCTGCCGTCTCCTTCCATCCCAGGGTTACCCGGTTCTCCTTCCAGGGAAATGTTGGGCATTCCACGGAGTCCAAGGCAACCTGGTCATCTCTCTGTCACACCCCATCACCATAAGTCATGTGACTCTGGACCACCTGCCACGCTACAACTCCCCCACCGGCCACATCAACTCTGCACCGAAAGACTTTGAAGTCTATGTGAGTGTTTTGATGGTCCACAACAGCAGCACTTGGACTACAAAGTAAAAAAAAAAAAAACGTTCATATTTGGAAAATGATGGAACATTGAATCCTACAATGTCCCTATCACTCATCTCTAAATAAAGAGCTTAACCTCTAGTGTTGACAAAGTCAGTGTCCTCACCTGCAAAGTGTTATGGATCACTTGGACTTGCTATCATCATCCATCGTATTGATTCACCTTTATATCTCAAAAAGGACCCACAATTAGAGCAACTTTCCGAAGCTTTAAGGTCATGCTTGTTTCTTTCTCTGTCAGGGGTTGAAAAACGACACAGAAGAAGGAACTCTGCTTGGGACGTTTACTTACGAGGAAAACGGAGGGTCAACTCAGACATTTAAACTACCTGTAAGTCTAATCTCCTCTATATAAACATAATCATAAGGCTCTAACACAGTGATTAGTCTAGATGGGGGGTACATTCTCAAAGAATGTAACCATTTAAAATGGTTTCTCAGATTTGGAAATGAGACATTGAAATCATCCAGAGTTGTTTTGTTGTTTAGATGACCTGTTGTCTTGATTTTACCTGAATGCTGTTAGGAAAACCCCAGCTAATCAAAGTACAGTCCTCCAAATTGCAGGTTTTATGACAGCGTGGCTGTCAGCAGAGTCTCTTTCCTACTTGTGATGTTTACATTCTGCTTGATGTGATTAATTCACATGCGTGCAAATTGGAATACTTAGCTTATTTCTATTGGTAAATGCTAAAACACTTTGTATTTTCTCCACTGTAGCTGCATGAGAAAACGTCCCACATGGCAAACATTAGCTGCTGTCACTTTTTTTTAAGTTGTGCAGTTGAACATTGCATTATTTTCTCACAAAAAGCCTCGGAATGTAATGTTCCACTAATCATTACTAATCCCTCTGCCTGTTCTTTCTTTCTCACACAGACCCCCAACGACGCAGTGTATCGGTTTGTTGAGCTGCGAGTTCTCTCTAACTGGGGTCACGCCGAGTACACATGCCTGTACCGCTTCCGTGTTCATGGAAAGATCGCCTCCACATAGGCGTACCTCTACATCACTCGCCTAAAGACACGAAAGTTCTCATTTTAAGTCTGATGAGTTGCAGACCAAGTGATCCTGAAAAGCTGTGGAGTATTGTTACTCATGTGACACAGCTGTATGGAAAACAGCAGGTATTTGATTTTTTTTTTTTTTGTGGTTTCATCCAGTAATGCTGAAGTTACAGACATCATTGGGAAGCTAATTGTGCAGTGCACATTTGGCTTTTCAGTTCTAAGAATAAAGGTATAACAAAAAATCTACCTAGTTAGAGCTTTGAACAGCATAAGGTTCTGGTAACCTTATGCTTGTAATCCTGCCACTAGATCATGTTTAATATTTTGTTACTGATCGTTTGTATTTATGAGGACTTTCCTGCTGCATAGGCCTCCAATGCATATATGAGAACGTTTCTAGTTGTACCTTAATTAGTAGTATCCAGACTGAATATATCTGAAAAAAATAAAATTTTAACTTTTTCTAAAATGCAGCTTATAACTAATAGGTTACAGATTATGTTGAACGCTAAACAAATTTCAACATGTCTTCTTTTTATAAGAATAATGAAGGTCTAGTCTGTTCAAACTTTATTTGCACCTTTTTAAAAACAATCTTTGATCACTGCGGTGATATTCCCCTTTTGACTGACTTGTAAAAATTATTGAAGGCAGCAGTGAAGCATGTTTATTCAGTATTGTTTATTAATAACTTAAATTTGATTGACTATTCTACAAAGAATAATGGTATTTATGCAGCTTTTTATCATCAATTTGCACTCTTCCAGTAGACTCTAGTGTGCTGTTTTTTGTTTTATTTTTGGTAATTGAGATACTTGAATAACCTTGTTGCTAACCTGTTTTATAAGACGCCATGCTAAAGGCATGAAAGATCTCTTTCTGCTTCCTTGTACAGAGGATTTTATATGACCTTTTCAACCTGAAATGAAAGGTGTTTTTATTTGATAGACCATAATATATATATGTAAATTTATATTAGATTTGCTTTGAATATTGAAAATCCTGATAAAAGTATTTTTAAAGATTCCGATGTTTCATTTCAATCTGTTAATTGGCAGGACTTTCAGCAGCTTTTTGTTGATTTATATGTTGCACAGAATATTTGAATTTGATTGAGAAGAATGTTTAATACTTTACTCTGTGATGCACTAGATGTGTTATTGTAATTTGTTTTAATTCATCGGTTCAAATTCGCACAAAACAAAAACTCAGGATCAGAATAAATGTTTTTTTGTAATGTTTTGCTTTTTAATTGAAAACTTATTCAGAGGTTTTCAATTGATGCAAAGTTTATGTTTTAAATTGTTTTGATGGCTTAATCATTACCACTCTTTATAAAAATGTTACTGCACAAAAAATTGTTTGGAATAGTTAATTTAACAGGCTCTATCTTGGTGATTACAATCTAACCGCATTTAATATATATATATATAATATATTTATTTTGCATCTTCATCCTTTTCATTCTCATATCAAACTAGGAATGATTAAAGTAAAGGAAATCTTAGTCTAAACTAAACTTTCTATTTTTATCATTTTAATAGTTTGGTTATTCATGAACACACTTTACTAAACGATGTATGTCTGTCTAAATAAAGTAATTAACTCTTAATTGTAAATCTTGTTTATTAAAGGTATTGTGGAGGACTTCTGCAAATTTTTTAAAAGACCCACCCTCTCCACTTTAAAAAAAAAAAAAGCATGCTCCTGAGAGGAGACACCTATTAAACATGTGCGAGAGCATGCACAAACCCATTTCTCCTCGTGCACGCTCTGTTTAAAAGTTGGTGTTTGCATCACTCATAAAGCTTACTTTCCAAAAGAAGATTTTTTTCACTATGTCAGACTGAGTACTGGTAAGTGAAAATGGGGAGGAGCAAATAGGACAGCCTTACGTAAACATTTCACCAGAATGATTGACAATTAGATGATGCACCCGGACAGAGAACACCCTCCATTATACCTTTAACAGCATGCTGTTTTATATCTTCTTTGCTTTTTTGTTGTTTAATTTCTTGTCCTGTTCAAATTGTCTAATTCCTCCACAAAGCATTTAAATAAATAAATCTTTGATAAACATGAAAAAAATGTGTTGTTTTACTTTTTTTTAATTAAGTATACAGGGGAAAACTTACCAATATGTTTACATTTGAACTTCATTAATTTGTTTGTAATAATGTTTTATAAAGGACTATAACATGTGTCTATGTTTTTAAGCCTGTATTCTTTTTTTACATATATACATTTTGAACCTCCAGCTAATTTGAAACATTTTTGTCTCATTTTAATATCAATAACTGCCATAAACACATAGTTTAAGGTCTAATGTTTCCTTTAAAAAGAAAAGATAATTGCAGAAGATCAAGTATATTTGGATAAATAAGGACATGTTTGCATTGAAATAGTTGCGCATGAAAAACTTTTTCGAGGAAACTGAAAAAGAATCTAAACAGTCAAACAAAATCAGTTTTCGGGCGAGCGCAGGTGTTACACTTAGTGCTGCTGACTCTTTTTGAAACTTTTTCTTTCTTTTTGCGGAAACTCAAAACTCATATTTAATCCTGATCTCCTTCATATGGTGATACACACAAAGAGAAAATATGTGTACTTCTTAGAGAACATTTACATAAACACATCAGTGTCCACGGTGGACTTCCCTACGTTAGTCAAAGCACTACAGTAACACCTTGCATTAGATTTCTCATTTGCCTTCCTTACATCAGCTGTTTACAGCTTGAGGTTACATCAGTAAGATGAAGCTTCAGCTGCAGCGCTAGATATGATACTCATGGGGAAATCATCATGCTGTTGGCGAAAAGTGGTAGAGTCGCTAATGCTATGCAGTAGATAGTAAATTACTGGATGTGGGAGTACAATTCATAGAGAATAGATATATATGTATATATTTTTATTATTTTTTTATTGAAAAAGCACAACAAAAAAGATTTGAAAAATAAGTTTTAAGCTTGTATAAAATTTATTTTGATTTATCTCTGTCACCACTTAAACCCGCCCTTCCATATCCATGCCACCCAATCAGCTGATATCATCTGAGCTTCTTAAGTTTTCATTATTAACCAATTATAATTTAGTTTAATGTTGTGACGATGAATCACATGATCTGAAAAGTGTCCTATCTCCAAAACTGTGCATTAGTCCTTGTAGAGGGAGCTATTTGTTCCAACAGTACCACTGCTGTGTTGAGGTAAGATGTGACACGCTTTAACAGGTTAGATATGAATAATAAACCAAAACTTTGACGTAAATTCTTCTTTCTTAGCATTTTATTTATTACCTTTCTGCTTTACAGTGAACTTTCTACAATGTCGAACAGCAGCCATTACAACAACTCCACCAGCAGCGTGGGTGGGCGCGTTCGCCCTCTGTGGTATCATTACCCAGAATGTGTGGTGGCCCCTCAGCCCTTTGTCTTCTACTTTGTGGTCAAGGTGTTCAACTTGGTCGTTGGGACGCCGGGTAACATCTTTGTCATCTGGCAAATCATTTCAAAGAAGAAGAACACCTCCACATCTGACATCTTCATCTTCAACCTGGCCGTGCTGGATGCTTACTTCTGCTTGATGAGCACGATAGAGATGGTCAACAGGCTGGAGCTGGGTGACGAGAAGATCTGGATCTTCCAAAGGTTTGCATATGGAGTGAAGGACCTGGCGCCACTCTTTCTTGTAAGTCTTTTAAAAAGATATTTAAGCGTCTTTTATTTCTTACCAAAACGAGGTCAAACAAAGGCCTTTAAAAAATAGAAGCTGAATTTAACAGACATTTGTCATTATTTCTGAATGTGTTCTAATCTTTTATTTGTAAAATTATAGATGTTATTAAACATCCTTTTTCAAATGAGGTTGTTAAACTAAATTACTTTTAAACGAATCCTAATCTTTTAACTTTTTTTTTTATTATAATCCCAGATTTCTGAGTATTCTACTTTCATTTCATGTTTCGGACCAACGTAGAAATCAATTGTAGAAAGAAAAAGCTTTGATCAGAAACATTGAATTATTAGAAACCTGATTACTGTGTCCATCTTTGACAATCCTACAACTCATGGTATGGAGTAAGATACCATCAGGGATGGTATCTTGCTCCATACCAGTGCTAAGTACCCATACTAGTACTTGTAAAACACAACCTAATACTCTGTACTGACAGCACTAATATGTTTGACAAAGATCACAGAATGAAAACAATTTAGTTTCCTAGCTGCTGCCAACAAAAGGCGCTTGACTGTTGGGGGAAAAAAAACCTTCTACTACAACCAAGCTGTTCTTGATCCAACATAAAAGTCTGACTTTGTCTGTTAAGCATTTAAAAAATATATATAAAAACTTTTGAAATTTGGCAAAACTTTTTTTTTTAGCACCTGTATCAGTACTCGGTATCAGCAAGTACTTCAATGTCAGTACCTGTACTCGATTAGAAGAAATCAGGTATCAGGACATCCCAATCGGATGATGGCAAGTCCTGTTATTTATCCAACTCAGTTGTTTTTTTATCTTTGCAGATTCTGTTTTTTTTTGTTGTTGTTTTTTTTACATAAAGTTAATTACTAGCTTCAGGACAATGAAAGCGGGAGGTCTCCACCATCCAGCAAGAAATCAAAGCTTAGATCAGTGTTAGTGTGTTTAATTGGCCTAATCAAAGTTCAGACCTAAATCCAGTCAATAGTCTGGGATAAGACCTTTTTTTGTTCTTCTATGGAGTAAACATACAACAAAAGACCTATAGCTATTACCACAGAAAGAAGTCTTTCTATAAAGTATTGATTTGGTCAATCTAAATGGAAACCAAATTTCTTAAGAATAATCCTCAAAATGTTGATTTTTATAAAAATCCACTTAAGTTAGTGGTTCTAATGCATAAGATATGGCATCCCAAATTACAACATAAAAATGCACTGTGACTTCTCTTTAAAAGCCTAAAAATCTAGATTACATAAGAGATATGCCTATAAACAGGACTATTCTGTTTAGTTCCTTGTTACCACATTTTGGGTTGTGTGCTCTTTCCAATAAATAGTTGATGCCAGATTACTTCATTTTGATAAATACTAACTCTCTGTGTGCCCTCAGGTGTGTATCTGTGTGGATCGCTACATGGCTGTAGTACATCCTGTGTTTTTCTCTACTTACCAAGAAACCATCACCAGAATTCTCATTTGTGTTGTAGTCTGGATGTTCATACTGCCCTACAGCATCATTAAGGGGGTTTGGGGAATTATGAGCGTGAGCGGCATCTTCGGTGGGGTCATCCTCTTTGCATTTGCCGTAATGTTGTTCTGCAACATCTCCGTCATCTGGGTCCTCCGTCACTCAGTGGCGGGAAAGGAAACAATGCACCCAGTAAAGAAGAGAGCCTTTAAGATGGTGCTGAAGAATTTGGGAATCATTGTCTTCAACTACCTGCCACCTGTGGCCTTCATGCCCTTTGTGTCTTATTACACGTATTTTGAGTACCGCTGTCAGATCAGCATCAGCGTGTTCTCTATCATGGATCTGAGCTGCAGCATTGAGCCACTGCTTTACGTCACAAAGATGGATGGACCGAATTGTATGTGCTGCAAGAAGGCCTCAGAAACGCCGGCTGATGTCAAGGTTTAAACAATAAGCAAAGCTCTCCATATTTACTGACACCCCAATGGCAATGACACCTGCAAGGCTTAGAAGAAATTGTAGCTATGGAGACCAAGAGAAATACATCCATACATTTATTTAGTTAAAAGAAGGAGTAAAGTAAAACTTTAAAATTAGAAAATGTAATTGAAATAATATTTCAAATAGTTTTTTTTAGGTACAATTTTGCCCTGAACTTAGAAAAGATGCCATCTAATTGTTTTTTCTAAGTATTTTATTCTGATACAATGCTGCTGCAGTGAAACATTGATTGACTTTAAACCGTCTGACACACCTGTACCAATGATAGCAATAAATGTAGAGGGTATTGTAACTACCTTTGTTAGATTTTTTTTTTCTTATGATAGGAAAATATATCTTTCTTATCTTGCAACCCTACTGTTGTGTTTTTCATAACTGCAAATCAAGTTTTACTTTGATCCGTTTTATTGACTTGGATCTGATATTTTACTTAACTTCTTTGCAACAGCTTATCTTGTCCATCAGAAAGTGGTTCTTATTATAAATCCAATATGTATGTTGCAGCTGTAGATGAACAGATTTATGGGTGATGAAGAAGTTAATTTTTTTTTTTTTTTTTTCCTCTATTAAGAATTTAGATGATTAATGCAATAAATCTGTTGTGTTACTCAACCACCTAATGAACATTTGGAATGTTTCAAATCAAGAATGGAAATAGGAAATATGCTAAAACAAGAACTGATTCAATATTTTAATTATCAAGAAAGAAAGCATTTAATCTGATTCACATCCAAGTTGGGTTGAAAATTGTCAATAAATGCTGTGAAGATCACCTCTTCAAACTCTTTTTCTGTCTATATCGCAACCTGTGTCGACTTTTAATATATAGGTTTTATTTATACATTAAACTTAATGAGCATCAATCTAATTTTTACACAGGCAGATAAAGTTCATTCAAAACTAAAATTATTCAAAAACATTTTAATAAAGCATGCACTGATCTGTTTTATTTTACACAGTAAAAAAAGGATTTTTTTTTTTTATTTATTTACATCTGTTTATTCGTTGGCAAAATCAAATAAATTAGGATTTAAAATATCAAAGGCTTTCTATTAAACCCTACTTCAGAAGGTAAAAAAAAGAAAAGACCTTTAGACAGATTTTTTGTTGATCTTTGCTGCTGCTGAACGTCTAACTGCAGGATGTTATGTCACTCTGTGAGGTCTTAGTATAATGATAGCCTGAAGCAGATTGGGATTTATAACACTTAACAGGCATTTCAATTTGGCTTCATGACTAGAGATGCTCAGTGGGACCAATTAGAAGTGATGTAATGAGTGGTCATATAGTTTATGTAATATAGTTTATGTATAATGATTAACTAAACATCTAATTAAAAAAGAAATGCACCCATCTAATTATATATAGAAACAATTATCCTTGTTTAATTTAATTTGAAAGTTTTTTGCATACGTTTGCAAGCATTGTGTTGAATATACAATACAGAAATCAGTAGAAATTAAACTTTTTTTTATTTTCAAAAATAGCTATTTTAAAGGCTGAATTAACTGACATGTTAGAGGTTATAAACAGACAACATTTGCACATGTTTTCCTTTTAAATGTATTTAGATATTAAATTCTTCATATGGTCACAGACAGATTATTTATATGCATTTTCTGGATGAAAATATGCATACAGTTCTGATTGGTCAAAGAATCTGATAGTGCAGATTAATTATTTTGTTTAAAATGATTTAGTTGGAATTAAAGTGCTTGTTGCTTTGTTAAGCTTTAGTGATCTTAGCATGCATCATCTTCAGGGTATCCGAGTCAGCCTCAGGTCCATCCTCTGAGGTGACATAACCAGGGTAAATGGGGTGGAACTCCGTAGACCGAGGTTCTGAAGATGCCCCTGATGATGAAGGTTGCAGCAACGGTATCAACTTGGCGTGAGCGTAGTCGATTTCAAAACCTTCGAAGATAAGCCCGACCCCCCAGGCACCGAGTCCCTCCTCGAGAAGCAGCGATACCTTCTTGGTGGCCAGCACCAAAGCTTCATAATCTCCTCTATCTAACCTAAATATGTCAGAGGTCAGAGGTCGCCGTGGAACCAGCACAGTGAAGCCGGGGGAGTTGGGGAACGGGGTGAGAAAGGCGACATGGCTTTCATCCTCCCACACACGCCACTGCTGCTCCTCCCCACGAACGATGCGTGAGAAAAGGCCGGCGTGAGCCGGATCTTCCCCAAGGAAGGTATTGTCAGGCGGGGCGTCGGGGAGCGGCAGCTTGGCTCTGATTTTGTGCTGAATCTCAGTCAGGCTGGCATCACTCCATCGGGGTGCAGTCTTGGAGGTGCAGTACCCAGGGTCAAGAGCATTGTGCTCCTCTTCTCCAGCCAGGTGGGGGCGCCACTCGACATCCAGACCATGAAGTGGCAGGACACGGATCTGTTGGGACCAAAGTTCATTTAATTTGTTGAACCAACAACATATGAAGCAGCAACGTTAAGCAGAAGGTACTAATTACTGTAACAGTAATACACACTTAATGAGAAGCTCATTTCAAACTTTAACTATATCTCTTAAGCAGACACAGCCCAGCAGGACACAGACATGGTGCAATAAGTTGGACTAAAAATAAACAGATTTAGGATATTTCCATATTAATACCGTATGTAAATCCCATTACTGTCCCACAATGGGGAAATTCACTCTCTGCATTTTACCCATCCCCTTGGGGAGCAGTGGGCTGCCATTGCGTGGCGCCCAGGGAGCAGTGTGAAGTTAACGGTTTTGCTCAGGAACCCAGAGTTCAGGCTGTGGGGATCAAACCGGATACTTGCAACCTTTTCAAAGCACAAGTGCACTGCTCTAACCACTAGGCCACCACTCCCCAGAAACAAAAACTGTAAAATATGATCCAACTGCTTTAATTTAAAACACACAAAAATCCCTAATTCTACTAAAAATAATGAACCATAATACAAGATACTAATAAGCTGTTATAATAATCTAGTTTTATCTATTTAGGATAGACCTAAGGAAAATATTTTGATAAGAAACTGCTAAATCTAATAGAGTTCTAAGGTAGAGATGCATAGATCCAGGTTTTTCCAACCCAGTCCGATATCAATACCTGAGCTGAGCGCATCGGCCGATATTGGATACTTATCAGAGTCGACTGCTGAATGAACGAATCATAAACCCCGCCACGTGAGTGAAGGCTTTAGCCTTGAAATATACATTGTTGACAAAAGGTAAGAAATGATTTATTAACAAATAAGTAGTAAAAAGAAAGAAATAAGAGTTATTAAAGTGCACTGGATTGTATCTCATTTATCTGATCCTTATAATTAGTCAAAATCGGAGCTGATATTCAAACCAGGTATCTGATCGGAAGAAACTTTGTTACGTAGAATATTAACGTTTAATTGTTCTGCTTAGCTGGTTAATGAATGGCACCCAAACTATCCCCATCGGTAGTTTCAAAACTTAATTAATAGATAGAGCTCATCTAGTTTTTACACTGTGGCCTAACATTTACTTTACAACAGGAACAGCTTGACAGATGTGTCTTTTGAAGTTTGCATTGATTGTTTTTAAAGAATGACCTTAATAGGAGTGGTGGCTTCTCACTCTCTCACTGTTTTTATGTCAAAAACATGCTTCTAAAGAGCTAAATCTTTCTTTTCAGGAAACAAAGTAAAAGTGTTGTATTGTCCTTTCAGTTTAATGGGTGGGGGAGTTTTGATAGTTGGTTGATTTATACTTCAGATAGCAAGAAAAAAAAATCCAATCACTTTTGCACATATGCCTGTCATTCTGAAGGACCTTCCTCCATAGTAACACATAATAATATATACCGGTATATATATATTATTTTTAATATTAGCAAAAACTTTAAATCTTTGTATTCTCTCCCTAGTTGTACTTCAAAGTAATTGTCACCTGAGTAGGTCTGTCTCTGTGGGGTCTGCTGATCAGAGCACACCTCCTCACCCCCAGCCGATCACACAGCAGCTCAGCTACGGTCCTCGCCCCCAGCAGCCAGGTTAGATACTCTGACTCAGTGAGGTGGAAGATGCTACCTCCCTGCCTGCATGGGGCACTGCTCTCCAGGATCACAGAGCCTGGGGTCCAGGGTTTGGGGTTTAGGTAGGCCACCAGCCCCTCCGACTGCCAGATTACATGACGACAAATAGCGGAGGACATGCTGTAGAGTCAGGAGATAAAAGAAAAAAATAAGGTTTGAAAAAAATGTCAATTTGTATTTTAGATCAATTCCATCTTAGATAAAACAGGATTCAGCAGAATTTTAATAGACAATGAAATAATGTAGCTTAAAAGTATATTAAATATGAACAGCTCTGAACTGAAACACATGGGAAGCCTCTTCTATAAAAAATAGAAGAAAAGCAGAGATATAACACCAAACACTTACATTTGTCGAAATTTCATTTTGAAACTCCTCATGACTCAGCTTACAGTCATCGTACTTCCAGGCCACAAGACTGAACATTTCCCACATTAAATCAGCACATGTGACTGATGATTGGGGGGGATCATCTAGTCTATGCATTTGCACTTTGGTTTCAAATAACAACTAATTTATAGATAAGTAACTAAAAACCAACTAGGAGATTTATGGAGAATGATCTTCATGACAGAGGCCCATCAATAATAAATGTCAGTCTTATGTCTAAACCTCCTAATGAGCTCAAATAACCTCAATAACAGGAGGATTTTTCTACAGAAATGTGTTTTTCTTTTGTTATAAAGTTTGATCTGGTGTAAAACAAAAAAAATGGAAGTTTAAAAAAATTTTAATACTCTGTTAGTAACACAAATTTAATTTAACAAGGAAGAAAAATGAATGAAAGGCTCTGATTAAGGCTGGGTTTAAGCAGCAGGTTTCCTACACCAGTGTCTGCATGGAGGAAACATCATGATGCAAAAAAAAAAAAAAAAAACATCATGAAGTTAAAATAAAGACAATATTGACAAAGGGGCAATAATTAGGACATAAAGAGCCTATAAGCTCTCGGATCGCAGAGAATATTAGTGACTTGCAGGCAAATTAAGCATTTAATGTGTTTTATTTCCGATAGAATAATATTTTTTATATCTAAAGGCGCATATTTAGCTGTGATTTCACAAAGTTATCAGCTGGAGGTTGCTGTAATGAGTCAGAAGTTCAAAGATTGGACTTACCTGCAGAATAAAAGCCTAACTCTGCAGGAATTAAATACCATCCAAGAGGTAAACCCTGCAACTATTTATTCAATCCGTCTGGAAGGTTTGTGCAAAAACACAAAAAATGTGAAAATAATCAAGGCTTCCGGCAACAGATGCCAAAGACTGAATGTTCGCTGTGTCTAAAGGAACAGGCGACATCTATGTGTTCATGGTTCATATCGGTTCACAGACAGCGGAGCGGACTCAACCCAGCGCGAGGCTTCACAGGAACCGGAAGTAACCAACCGGTAGCAAATAACAGACTGGGTGCTAAAGTAGCGAATGCACCGTGGATGCCTCTTAAAGGCGGGGTAGAAGGTTTTGATTTATCTGGGGGGTAGAGACAGCAGAGCTACCCCGCTCTTAAAAAAAAAAAAAAAAAATATGAGAACATTTTTAACTGACTGAAAATCAAAGTAAACGTGTCTATTTTTTCTACAGCTCCCCCTGCTGCTCAGATGGAAATATGACAGAGCACTAACAGCCTATTAATGCATCAAATATCCTCAGGAAAACATTGAAATTGAAAATGACAGTACATCACTTATTATTCTCTCAGAGGTACAGAGGTCTTAAACATGTATACTTTGGAATGTAATTAAGAAGATTTAGCATATTAACCTACAGTATTAAAGATTGCACCAATGCATTTTATTGTCTGATCAAATCTGATACATGGACTGAGCGTATTGGCCGATATCTGATTAAGATTAGATACTACTGTTGAGTCAATTGCCCGCATATTACTTGAGTAAAAGAATCGTGCTTGACATAAAAATTGTCAAAAGAAAGTTTAAAAAAAAAAATTATACAGATACAATGAGGAAAATAAGTATTTGAACACCCTGCTATTTTGCAAGTTCTCCCACTTCACAAATATTGGAGGGGTCTGAAATTGTCATCGTAGGTGCATGTCCACTGTGAGAGACATGATCTAAAAAAAAAAAAATAACAGAAATCACAATGTATGATTTTTTAATTATTATTATTTATTTGTATAATACAGCTGGAAATGCGTATATGAACACCTGAGAAAATCAATGTTAAAATTTGGTACAATAGCCTTAGATTTTAATTCCAGAGGTCAAACGTTCCCTGTGGTTTTCACCAGGTTTAGAGACACTGCAGGAGGGATTTTGGCCCACTCCTCCACACAGATTTTCTCTAGATCAGTCAGGTTTCTGGGCTGTCACTAAGAGACACAGAGTTTGATCTCCCTCTAAAGATTCTCTATTGGGTTTAGGTCTGGATACTGGCTAGGCCACACTAGAACCCTGAAATTCTTCTTACAGATTATGTCTCTCACAGTGGACATGCACCTACAATAACAATTTCAGACCTCTCAATGATTTTTAAGTAGGAAAACTTGCAATACAGCAGGGTATTCAAATGCTTATTTTCCTCACTGTATAAATCATCACTAGCCACTGTGTTCAGGTAATCAGTGGTGCAATCATAAAATTGAAGTCACAATAATTATTGTAACTGCATTGCTGTGCATGATATCAATACGACCTTCTACAGAAGCATCATAGAGAGTGTTCTGACCAGCTGTGTGTATGTATGTATGGTGTGGGGGTTGCAGCGCTGCAGATTGGTAGAAAGTGAGAAGAGTAATGAGAACTGCAGATAGGATAATTGGGGCTTCTCTTCCCTCCATAAAAGACATTTAATGCCATTGCTGCATGTCCCGAGCCCGTAAGACCCCTCACACCCCCCCACCATGGATTGTTCTCCCTGCTGTCCTCTGGGAAGAGGCCTCACAGCATTCGATGCAGGTCCAGCAGATTCCTAAACAATTTCTTCCCCACTACCATCAGACAGTTTAACTGTTGAGAAAACTCAAAATCATTTAACAGATTCTGCATCAAACTGACCATATCAATGAGGTTTTTTTGCAGCACGTTTTTTCTCCCACAATGTTTACATCATACACATGTCAGAGAGCTGTACAAAATGGCGTTTTGTTTTGTATACACTCTGTGTATACACTCTGTGTATACAAAATGACAATAAATATTGTCTAAGCCTAATTAAAAATAAAACTGACTGGATCAGAATGGTGGATCGGCCTCATTCACCCAATATCTGTTCCAGCTAATTAGTCCATGGGGATGCTTTTTTTTGGTTGTGTTTTCTAGCACATACAATAGCAACACATATTCTAAACTAAAACACACTTTTACTTTTTTGTGATGCTTTTTAAACTCATTTTTATCACATTCAAAGACAACAGAGCCATTGTTGTTTTGAGTAAAAAGTAGCTAAAACTCTTCAGCCTTTAAATATGCATCAAATAGACATTATACAAAATGAGCTTTAAGAGAGTTATATAGCTATCTAAGCTTTAAGACTTATTAAAAGCTTAGCTTTAGGTATATTACATAAAACACTGTATCTGCATACCTAGCCCTCCCTGGTCAAGTAAGGAGAATTTAATTCCTTAAAAAGCATTTTACTTACAGGGGTCATGAAAAGTCTAAGGGAAATCAGAAAATTCCAATATAAATATAATATTCATATCAGTCTACTTTTTTGGCAAATGACGCCTCCGGGCAATGATACACGCCGGAGTTTAGGTGTTTCTTAGTGCAGCCGTCTGTTTGTTGCATGTGCCACTGGCCACTCTGTCCATTTTTTTTACTGTAAACATGGATGAAAGGGATGAGGACACGTCCAACTGTTTGGTCTCAATAATTTCAGATTGAAATAGAAAATAACAAGACATTTAGTGGAAGAAAATTTGTTGAATACAAAAGATTTTAAACTCTGCAGTAAATAAATCATCAGTTGACCCTCTCTATCAGTTGTTTCAGTGTAAAAAGGTGGATTGTAATAAATAATATTCCCAAACATTTATACTGGTTGAAATTTTAACATATATGTCCACTGGTTTATGCTTGGCTTCGTTCTGCATACAATTGTTTTTTTTTGTTTTTTTTTGACACAATATTTTACAGAAAAGTGTCATCACACCAAGCTATAATGATGAGAGTGCAGGACCATGACAAACATTGTCACCATAATAGAAAGAAAGGAGAGTTTACCAAAAAAAAGTGTCTCTGTGTTTTTTCTGTAACTGTGTACAAGACAGGAGCAGTGAAAATATGACATACCTGAGATGTTGTGTGTTGACACCACTTCATGAGGCATTTTCTCTTTCACCAGAAAATGGCAGGACCTGTTAGGGTGGAATTCAAAAGCAATTTTTAAGATCTGATTAAAGAGGTTAAAATACGACGCGAGTCTGCTGATCAAAACAAAAGACTGTAGTTTATTTAAAGCAAATCAAAATACAGCAAAAAAAAAAAAAAAGAAAAAAGCCTATAGGGGTTATAGGCATTTCAGGTCGCCAATTTAAAATGTATTAGCTTCCCCAGTTCCTCTTTCATACTGCTAGTTTTCAGTTGCATGATTTATCTGCTGTTGAGGAATAATTAGAAGCATTTTTTTTATGTTTTTATTGCGATACACGAGAGTGAGAGGCTGGAACTCTTTCCAAAGTTCAAGAATTTAACTTAAATCTAGATCGGATGACAAAATTTTAGAGTCAGCCTACAGATGCCATCCAGTTCTTATGTCTTTCGTCACAGATATTCAGTAGATTAGAACATGCATTCACATATGACTGCAGCTATTAATAATGGAAGTCATTGGAAAACAAGTCAGAAAATCCTGGGAACATATAACTACAGCATTACATACATAGTTTTAGAGATAAAAATAGGTAACTGTGCCAATTTATAGCTAGTATTTACCCCTCCCTATTAACCATATACACAAAGTAATAATAATAATACCATAAAACCTAAACTAAACAACTGCATCTTCTTTATATTTGGTAGCTTATACTAGGTTGAGAGTGTAACAGCGTACTGCTACTACCGAGAAAGGAATGTACAATCCCTTGTATCTCTCTGACCTACAAACCTATAAACACTGATGTATGAGGCTTTTGTTCAAAGCAAACCAGAGGTTAAATCACTCTCTAATGATCTTTGAAAAAAACCTGATGAACCAGTTAAAATGAACTCACATACTGCTCACTCATAGGCCTTCTACAGGAATGCTATTTCCTACAACTTAATAGAAGTTTGGGCGATTCCTCTTCTTAGACCACTTCACATTATCCTGTATGAACGTATTACTTTCAGAATTCATTTAACTTAAAAAAAAAAACAAAAAAAACAGACAAGATAGTCTGCAAGTCTTTTTCTTAAGGTATTATAGCTGTAAATAGTCCCCACTGTTTGCTTTAAAACTAAGTTAAAGACAAATAGGATAAAGTGATGGAATATTTATGTGAACTGTCAGGTCAACGTATGAATGTACATTTCTTATTATTTTGGACCTTTTTTTTGTCGTTCTGCTCTTTCCATGTCAGTTCCTAACCATTAGCTGTGTTTGAGAACTGACTCTAGGGGGCACCCTTGGACTACAATGGTGATGAGCTGTAGGGTAGATCACATTTAGTGTTTTAACCTAATCTTTTAATTATGATCTGCTCTTAATTTTAGTTTTAGTCCTCTCTTTCCACAGAATTTCAAATAAGTGATCACACCTTCATTGACCCAAGGCTGAAATGACTCATGACACAAACACACACCACACCCGCGCACCAATACACACACCCCTCCCACACACACACACACACACACACATACATACTACGCTACTATTTTTAATCGTACTTATGAGAAACCTCAACTGCTGGTGTTCTTCTGATACTATAGTCTAATACTCCCAAATATGTATAAAATTATATCCATATGTCCTTACACTGGCTATATGCAGCACAGAGAATAGACTTAAAATACTTATCTGAATGGTTTAGCACCACAATACATTAAAGACTTATTATTATCTTATCAATCTTTCAGAACACTCAAGTCTTCCAGTCCCAGTCTACTTCGCGTCCCTAGAACCAGTACCAAACATGGAGAACCAGTTTTTTAGGTTTTTCTGCACCTTTGATCTGAAACAAACTCCCACAAACCTAAAAAACAGACGATGTACTGAATTCCTTTAAATCATAGCTGAAGACAAACCTGTCAGGGGCTGTCTTTGATTAGGGGTTCGCAAACAATCCAGGTGAAAACCTGCTCTAAACAATATATATTATCACACATTAAACTTCTCCATATGATTATCATGTGTAACTACTTGATTACTTGCATGACCTTATGTGATGATTCTGATGATTTGCTGTGTAACTGAAAAATGCTTT